GATTGCCAGTGGTTCTATAACCTCTTCTAATATCATTTGAAGTTGATTTTTCATTCATCCAAGAGGTATCTATCAGTAAGTAAAACAGTTATCAGATGTAGTTTTAAAGTCTTTAAAAAGCCCACTTATTTTTCCAGTATATTCGTTCTTGTAAGTACTTCAAAATAATATCGGACTGTAAGTATAGTAGTATAGTGCGGTAGATGCCTGTCCAGCACATTGTTGTATGGGCTCGTTGAACTTACATTGGCGTTGTGATATTGTTTATATCATGTGTGTGTTTCTGTGTGTGTGTGTGTGTGTGTGTGTTTCCTAGACACTACTCGCGATGATCTCAAGGGGGAGCAGGATGAGGACAATCCGTACGAGGCAGCCACGGATGTTGACACCGATCCGAACTCGAATGAAGGGGAAGACCAAAGTTCGGACTGGGACCGCACTCTGTCGCCGGAGCCGAAGCCGCAGCCTTCGTCGTCCGCGCTGAGAAGACACAGAGATATGTTTGAGAGCTTTGACTCTTCGCCGGGGAGTCCTGCGCCTGTGTTGCCCAAACGGGCCAGAATGCCGGCGAGCGAGCACAGCGTGGAGGTCGCTGAGGCGGGTCCCTCCCAGGAACATACTACGTCGGCTGTGGTAGACGTGGAGGTGGTCAGGACGAATGTTACAGAGGAGGACAAGGGAGAAGATTCAGACGATATGGACCATTTAACCTTAGGGGAGGATACGCAGGACCTCCTTGCCGATTTTTAAATATATTTGTGATAACAGCTTACACCAAAAATGAATGTACATCTGATCTCAGAATGTAGGTTTGGTTGTTGCCTGTTGTACTGATAAGTGTTCCGTCTGTTATTTACGTATATTTCCTTTTCATGTGTTAAAGCTATTGTGTATGTAGTATAAAACCTGTTGTATTTTCTGGTTGTTCATAGTTCCATTCATTTTGAATCTTTTAAAAGAAACAGATATTTGCTGATTTTATTACTTTTTTTATGATTCTGAAAACTGTTTGTATTTTAGAATATCTTTTTATCTAAATTTTTTACCGTTTTTATGTTGAAATGTATGATGTTCTAGGAAATAAATGTGTAAATCAAATTGTGGATGGAGTGAGTGTCCTTTCTTCATCTCCTCTTGCCTCCCTCACTGAATGGTGCTGCACTCTGGTGGTCTGTCTGCGAACCAACTGCGGCTCTCCTACTAGCGCGCGGGATATTCCATTCGTGTGGACTTCCCTCTTTCGGTTCTGGGCAACTTCGTCTTACCAATGGCCCGCGACCGGATAAACTCCAAACCACACCTGCGATTGCTCTGGCCAAATGCAACTTTTTCTCCCCCCCCCCCCTCCTGCCGCTTTGTAGAGAGAAGTTATAGCAGCCAGCCGGGCCAAACATTTGCCCTTTTGCTAATTGCCCCGGTGGTCTTGTTGCGTTGTACTCACGCTTATGCATATGAGATGAGATCCCCGGGCCCGGCATTGATACGGAAGCTGCCCCGGCGGGCCTGGGCTGGCAAGCCTCCAGTGGCGCCACGCTGCGCCGGCCGCGCCGCGCATACCTCGGGGTACGGTGCATCCACGCGGCGGCGGCGGAGCCTGGAGCCGGCCGAGGCGCCAGCCGAGAGCAGAGGAGTAATCCTCCACTGAAAATTAATCGCGCGCATATACATGTAATTACGGTAGCCCGAACATGACGGGAACACGGGCCAGCGCGGCCGGGCGAGGCGGGGCTTTGGGCTCGGCCCGGCTCCGCCCTGCGCCCTCATCACTCGGCAGGGCCGTCGTCGTGGCCAGCAATGCCCTCCAGAGGAGCGGCCGAGTCCCAGCGGGAGGCGCCGTTGCGTCAGAAGTGCAGTGCAGTGCGCGGAGTCAGGGCCGGCGTGCAGCTGGTAGTGCCTGCGGGAGCCGGGAGCACAGCGCCCCGCCACCGAAACACTCTGGCCATGGGGTCCGCCACAACCTCGGTGACCTGCCCCCTAGTGACAGCCGTCCAACCGGTGGACGCCCCCCATGAAGCTACATGCCCAGGGGCCGGGACCGGGCCGGGGGCAGGGGGCCGCGTGGCCCTGGGGGCTCCAGCTCCACGGGGTCCGGTGGGGGCCGGCGCGACGCGCTGCAGCGGGCTGAGCGGGGCTGAGCCGGGCCGGGGCCCCAGACTGGACTGGACCGGGCTGCCCCGCCCCGTCCCGCCCTGTCCGATTGCATCTGACACTAATCCTGGCGGCCAGCGGCCAAGCCAGGCTCAGATCCGGGCGCGTGGCGTGGCGTGGCGCGGCGCGGGGTGGCGCGACCAGCCCTCGACCCCGCGTACGTACGTGGATAACACGTTGACGCCCCGAGGTGGGCGAGGTGGAGCGGGGCGAGGCCGTGTGGGCCTTCCCTGTGCAGAGGACGCGACGGTGCGGGACGCACAGCCACGTCAGATAATACCCGCTCTTTATCGCCGCGGAGCGTGGAGCGACGCACCGCAGCGCGAGCTGGTGCCAAGCGGGGCCACGTGCAACAACAGCATTCCATCGCGAGAGACACGAGCAGAGGGAAAATGAAAGAGGAAAAAAGACAGTTGGAGCAGGAAACAGAGAATTGAGCCGCTTGTCGCGCCGCGTTGTGCGCTGCCGTGCCGCGTGAGAACAATTTCGAGACGATGTCGCGGGACTGCGACTGCGCTGCACTCCGATCCGCCGCGACACGCGCCTTTTTATTGCAACGGCCTCCTTATAGCCGCGACAATCGAAAACTTTGTCATTTTCTTGGCTTACGCTGGTGCGGGGGCGGGGTAGAGGAGGCACACCGAGTCACACACGCGCTCCTGTAACGACCTGACAAACAAAAATCAACTTGAAAAACAGAACAGAAGATCACAGTTTACATTGTCGGAACCAAGACGTGGAGCGGATGACATTGAGAACCGATATAGGAATAACTTTTAGTCAACAATCATTTGGCCAAAGTCTGTTCGATAGATTTGAAGTAGGCCTACTTCATTCATTGCGCGCTCTATCGACAGTCATCCCAGTCAGCTGCGCAACAGGGGTGAGCTCTAGAACTACCAGAACAAACAAGTCAGATTGACGGAAAAATTTGTACTTTCTTAGTGATAGTAAATCATCTAACTACCTATTCGTATAATTGATACAAAATTGAACGTGTCAAACATCAAGTCCTATGTGGATGGAGTTTAGAGTTCCATTCCATGGCATATAGTCCATGTTGTGATTGCCAGTGGTTCTATAACCTCTTCTAATGTCATTTGAAGTTGATTTTTCATTCGTCCAAGAGTCATCTATCAGTAAGTAAAACAGTTATCAGCTGTAGTTTTAAAGTCTTTAAAAAGCCCACTTATTTTTCCAGTATATTCGTTCTTGTTAGTACTTCAAAATAATATCGGACTGTAAGTATTGGGGTATAGTGCGGTAGATGCCTGTTCAGCACATTGTTGTATGGGCTCGTTGAACTTACATTGGCGTTGTGATATTGTTTATATCATGTGTGTGTTTCCTACTGTGACAGTGTTTTAATGAGCAGGGTCTCAATTTAAATCTTCTTTACTTTGGTATTTCATGGGCACTGCCCGTCGTCGGGGTCAGGTTAGGGGACCTCATCAGAGGTATAGAAACCCCATGACCACAGTCATGTTCATGGGTGTATGTAGAGTTTGGTCCCACACTCAAACCGGCCTCAAGCCATGGACCCAGACCGACACGGGCCCATTAAGATTTACCTTTGTGCTCTACAGACCTAAGGCGAGTCCGGCCCGGCCTGCCGACCAAACGTCGCCGCCCCGCCATCTCTCTTTACATATTCGTTTTGGAATCGTTTGCATTTTAAAGAGATGATTGGAGAAAAAAAAATCATTTTAAAAAAGAGAGAGAGAGAGGGATAAAAGCAGATGGGGGTGGGAGAGGGAACGCGCGCATCTCGCCGGGAAGAAACAGAATAATAAAAAATAAAAAGGAGCAAAAGAGTTGAGGCAAGGCAAGAGGACGATGAGGAAGTCTCCCCTCTCCAACCTCCCGCCCTCCCCGCATTGGAGCGGGTCTCAATGCGTACATGACTCTGTAATCAATGCTCTCTCATTTCCAGGCCCCGCTCTAGGGCCGCTAGGTCCTGGAGGAGAGCGTCGTGGACCTAGGAGGTGGCCCTCACTCGCCTGGCTGCCGCCAGCAAGTTGGATGTAAGTTACTGAAAGGGCGGTGGGTGTCGTCGTGCGTGGTATTCGGGCTTTTTATTCGTCGTTCCTCTGATCGGGCAGGAGGCTTATTTGTGACACAGAGACACCGCGCGCCTGCCCCGCTCGCCCTGTCCCCGTACTCCGCCCTCTCCTCCCCGTGCCCCCCCCCCTCCCTCCGGTCTTCCAGCCAGCCTGATCGGGACGGCGAGATAGGCTTGGTCCAGTGGAACGACCTCCCTCCTTCGGAGTCAGCCCGGTCCTGCCCGGGCCGGGCACGGGCAGTGCTCAAATCAGATCAGATGATTGCTGGGCCGTCCGTGGCGTGCCCTGGCATCATACTGGAGCCGGAGCCTCCAGCTTCTTCATGCTGCAGCAGCCTCCTGGCAGGCCCACGGCGATGTGCAGCTCGCCTCCGCTGACGGCCCACGACGTCCTCTGGGTAACTCATGACTGTTGCCAGTTATGATGTTCAGCGGTTACGCTTTGCGCCAAAAGATGGCGGAACCAGTTGATTAAAGTAGTTGGCCATGGAGGCGTGCTGGACACATTATTGTACCTTCCGTGCAATTGCACTGGTAACAGACGGTTCTAGCTTTGCGCGTTAAAGGGAGAATTAAGGAAATCAGCACCGAAAACAGTCCTAAAATAAGGCTAAAACAAGTGCAAATGAGCAAATGAGTTACTTGGGTGTTACTCGGGGTTATTTCCGTCGAACAGCACTGTAAAATGATCAAAATCAGAGAACTTGTGCGTACTCTTTCTCGTGTGAACTGTGCAGTACCTTTCACAACAAATCGCCTGTTGTATTCTTCCTGGCCGGGTCTTTTCTCTGATCAGAGGACCTCTGATAGATGCACAGTCTGGAAGTAGGTCCAACAGTGGGCTGGCTGTTTACTCTCCCTTCTTTTTAGTTCAAGTCTCTCCCCCACCAATCGCTTTTCGTCTGTCCCCCACCCCGCCCGTTATTGGGCCTAATCCAGCGGACACTCGGTGAGTTTGCAATCATACTCAACGTCGTCGTAAACAAAGCTTTTGACGTCTGCAGTAGGAGCAGCGGTCCGAGCTCGGGAGCGCCGGTGGTGCTGAGGCGCGGGGGCGGGGCTGGGGGCGCACGACGCGGAGGGTCGCGACAGTCTGCCTATAATGTGGTCGTCGTCCTGATCCCCCGCGGTCCCACGGCGCCTGCGGCTGGGCGCCGCGGCCGGCCGGTCCCCGCAGGCTGGGCTCGGTCCCCGCGAGTGCCGTATGGCGCGCTTCGGTTCGGCGTACAGGTGCGGTCCGGCCGGCCGCCCTGCGCAGCGTTTGTCCCGCCGCAGTCATGATTTACAAGACAAGCCCCGCGGAGCCCTCCGGTTGATTTACAGCTCGGCGCTGTCAATGTCTGCGCCTCGCCTCCTCGGCCCGGCTTGGGTTAGGCCTGACCTCAGCGTCGTCGTGCTCTTGCAGCAGTCCCTCTCTCCCTCTCTCTCGGCAGGGGGTGCGACGGAGAGAGAGACAATCACTCCGCTAAAGGCCGTTTTTACTGCTGGGCTTCGCAGATTGTGGGAATGATGGCGAGGGGGCGGGGCCTGGCGGGGCCTGGCGAGGCTTGACGGGGCCTGGCGGGTACCCGTAACGCTGGGGTGGGCGGGGCAGTAACTGGAACAGTGTCGTGACCAATACGTACGCGGCCGACTCTTAGAGGCGTGAAAACTTATCTCCGTCGGGTTATGAAGTCGGAAATCGCCAACATCGCCCATCCACTACGTTTCCCCCCCTTTCCTTACTCGCCGAACGATGCGCCTCGCAATGCAGTTCGGGAACATTGAACTCCCAGCCTGAACTCGCGGAACACTTGTACAAGGGTTCTGTTCCATTCCCCTTTAATAGGGTATTTCACCTGACGCAAACCGGAACCAAAGAAGAACAAGAGTTCTTCCTGAACTGTTTCCTCC